AAAATCTCTCACCAAAATCAAACAAGTCGGATATAGACGATCGAAGTGCTGATGAATCACATATTACACTTCGAGGCGAGCGTGACGTCATATGTTTACGAAATCCGACCAAAGATAATAGGGCCTTTCGACGGATGTTAACGAGTGCTGACCAATATTGCAAGAAACGATCTGGATTGTTGTGCTGCCTATACATACTAGCGCAGATAATGTTTTTTTATATCAAGCCATTTTTTCTGTAAGAAGGAAGCTGAAAACCTTGCATTGCGTGACCAAGAGCTCTGCGTGGCGGCGCACTTGTTTGCTGAGGAGATAAACACAGAGTCGGATTTGGTTGAAGAAAATTGGGCCACCAAAGGTGACGAACTTTATTTTCAAGATATGCCAATATATAATAAACTAAATATCTCTTCAGCAAAGGTGGGGGAAAAAACCGCCAAAGAGCCACAGAGTGTGGCACCCCCACCAACACGCCAGCAGAGCCCGTGGGCAAGTAGTTCGGGAAGTTGCAGCCCTTGCGTGACCAACTTCACCAAACGACTAGAGAGCTATTAAAGCTTAAAACAGGAAACCTTTATATTGCGTTAAGAGATGATGCATCCCCCGTCTGACCATCACTCCTTTTTTTTTTTTTTGATACAGAGAAACAGACTCTGCAATGAAGAAACGCACTGCAGAGTCCTTGTATGAGATGATGCAGCCCCTGTCTGACCATCATCGCATGCACACGCGGCATTGTGAAATGTTACGATTTCATAAAGTACTACATGCACGTTATGGTGCAGCCCTTGCGTGACCACCAACTAGGTAGCAATTAGCGAAACGTTCTACATATGACAGACAAGATGCATGGCAGCCCATGTCTGACCCATGGGAAATTAAATTCCTTGTAGTGTAGAATTACGAATGTAAAGTTTAAAGGCATCAGACTTCCATCGGCCAAGAGCGCGAATCTGGGCGTCAGAAAAACCTTTGTCTGCTGCGAGACAGGCCGCGCCGATGCGAAAGCTGTGACTCTTATAGCGCTGAGCATTCAAACCACAGAAATTTAAGCAGCGCCTAAGTTCGGTGTTAAAATGGTTAACCGTAATGGGTGTATTGTCTGCATGGCAGAAGAGCGGACCGGGCTTGTTACCCCGGAGATGGCAATACCGGAGTATGAACTTAACAGGACAAAACGGTGAAGATTCATCACCAGTAATAACAATGTCAAAAGGCCGATTGCTTGTGTTATGTTTGAAATGGGTGATTGTGATCTTAATAGAGTGGATTTTCCTACCGGATACGAGGAACCGGATGTTATCGTACGAAATTACGGTAGTGTGACACGCGCTCCTGGCCGCTAGTTCACCGATGCGAAAGAAACCATAGAAAGCTGTGAGAAACATGGCTGAAAAAAGTATACGCTGTGCAAACCTTTCATCTTGTGGACGTAACCAATGGCCGATAGATAAGAAAGAATAGTCGAAGGCGAAAGATTTCTACCGTCGAGAAAAGAAATAAAAAGCGCCCAAGACGCGGTGGTTAACGGTAAATGGAAGGCTTTTGTTTTGTAAAATTTCTCGTGAAATTCACGAAATAGTGTCCACGCTCTACGGTATGACTGACCCGAACCTGACGCCAATACAGAGCTCAAGAGACTCTCTAAGTTAGCGACCAACTCTTCGGCAAAAGAATCTCGGGCACTATTGTTGGCAATTCGTCTGCTTGGGGTGAAAGTTCCTTGAACCGTGCTATCTGAAATCGTGAAAGACAATCGGCCCGGGTATTATTAAGACCTGGTATATGTCGAGCACGAAAGATAATGTTATAATTGAGAGCAGTTAGAACCAAGTCACGGATCAATATCATAACTAATTTGTGTTTGGATGTCTGTCGATTGATAATACTGACCAGCGCAGCGTTGTCAGTAACAAACACGATACATCGGTTAGCCATCTGAGAACCCCAAATACGCACTGAGAGGGCAATAGGAAATAGTTCGAGAAAGGTAATGTTGAAGGATTGCCACAGATCCGAAAAAGAGCCGAAGAACCAGTGAGGGCCAAAGATAGCACCATAGCCCTTTGATCCGGCCGCATCGGTATACAATTCAAAAGGAGGAGATGTTTTCCACTTATCATCCAAGAAAAAGGAACGGCCATTAAATTCCCTGGGAAATTTTAGCCATACCTCCATATCGTGTCTGGTTTCTTTAGTGAGCCTAATGCGATGATGTGGGCGTCTCCCCCCAATGGTGAGATCAATTAGGCGGCGAAGAAAAGCACGCCCAGGTACGATTACAGAACAGGTAAAATTTAACAGACCTATTAGGGGCTGTAATTCTCGCAAAGTAACTTTACGACGTTTGCAAAAGGATTCAAGTAATAGGCGGCATTTTTGAAGCTTATCTTCCGGCAAACGAGCTTCCTGATTAATTGAATCGAGTGTGATACCCGCAAATTGTATGACTTGAGATGGTCCACAAGTTTTTTCCTGAGCAATGGGCACGCCGAGATAATCACACGTACGAAGAAAATTGCTTAAATCGGTGCGGCATTGCTCTTCGGTACGCGCAATAAAAAGAAAGTCGTCAAGAATGTGAAGAACTCCGGATGCGCCAAATCGGTGCACAGAGATCCACTCCAAGGAAGAACTAAAAGCTTCAAAAATTTGACACGAGGATGACAGTCCCATAGGAAGACATAGGTCAAAGTAAAACTGATTATCCCATTTCACGCCTAGCAAAGGAAAATCGGACGGATGAATTGGAATAATCCTGAAAGCCGATTTAATATCGGTTTTGGCCAAAAAGCAACCAGCCCCTAAACTTTTAAGTACCGCAATGGCATCAGAAATAGAAGCGTAGTGAACCGAAGAATGTGCGTCCGGTATGTTGTCGTTTACTGAGGTGCCATGAGAGTACGATAGGTGTTGAATTAAACGGAATTCAGAGGGGTCTTTTTTGGGAACAATGCCTAAAGGAGAACAAACAAAGTTTGGAAAAGGGGGGCAAATAAAAGGACCACATATCCTCCCGGCCTCACACTCTTTACGTAGTTTGGTCCGAATGATTAGCGGTTGGTCTAAAGCACTTTTAAGGTTGGGTCAGTGCAACGCGCAGCGTTCCCCATCAAAACCAACGCGAAAACCAAAAGTAAACCCATTAACTAAATAAAGGCGGAGAGAAGTTTCGTATCCGCTAAGAAGAAAATTAAGCCGATCCACCTTTACGGATGTTACTGGCTTGTGCAGCGACGGTTGAAATGCCTGCTTTGACAGGGTGTGTTTTAGGTTGGCTGGAGGAACACTGTGCGGCAGGGTGTTTCGAGCCACACTTATAGCAAATGTGTTCGAAACGGCACCCGTTGCACACCTTCCCCGCATGGAAACGCCAGCATATGCCTCTTGGAAAGGACTGGGAGCGGGAGCGCAGTGGTCCCTTGTCCGAGGAAAATTGGGTTTTCGGACGAAAATTTGTCACAGCCTTCAGCCAAAGTTCCCAGTGAATAGCGGGCCATGGGTATTGTGCAGGGGCTGATTGCCTTATGAAAATTGTTCGTCATAATACAACCAGTCACCTGGTTTTGCGGCGATATCGCCGACAATTTCACAATATTTCATCAGCTTGGGTGTGTCCGTGGGTATTTTTTCCGAATAGATCGCAACAAAAATATTAAATGCAGAGAGCCACTGGTTGACAGTTTGGATCTTTTTAACTGGTTGGCTAGGTTCTAAAGTTAAGTGTGGGCGGGTGGTCTCACCATCCGAAGAGGCAAGAGACAGAGAATACCTTTGATTATTGGGAGAAAACGAGAAGAGAGTTCCAAAATCAAGATATTCGTTGGACCAGATTTTGACCTTGACTTTGGAACTCACCCGACTGCTAAGAGAAACAGCCACGCTAGAAACAATTTGTTTCGGAGCCGGCGAGTCTAACCCAGGCTCAGCTAAGGTGACAACGTTTTTGCTACTTGATGGAGTACCTTGGGTGATCTCGGCCAAGGATGCGTTGACTATATTGGCCACTGACTGGTCCGTGGAGGACTGTGTCTCCTGGCTGGGTGCTGCTGGCCATTGCGCTTTCATGGCCTCCGCGACAGCTAGCTGTACTGCGCTAGAAATGGAGGCGGAGAGGGCCTGCATATTGACGGCCATGAGAGGCTGCTCCGTGGAAGTTGCAGGTTGTTGTTGATCACTGGGTCCAGGGCGGGTTTCGATCATTTCTGTTACACGTGCCCGCTTTGCAGAACTTCGCGTGCGTGTTTGAGACGCTCGCTTCGGCTTAGGAGGCATAACTTAGACAAGTAAAAGTAATTAGATTAAGATAAGGCTAAATACCATATATTTCCGCTAAGATAAGATAAGATATCAAAAACGGTATGAGTCAAAGAGGAGCAAATTAATGAGCCGGGATGTTTATTTTTCCTTTGAGTTGTGTTTTTTTTTTTGTTTGTTGGTTTTTTGTTTAACAAACGGTAATGTGGCTAAGCTACGCACACATAATGGTGACGAATAACCGAACTCTGCTGAAAACCAAATGGCGAGCCATGTAGCAAGAATTGAGTGACATAAATGCCTGGTAAACGAATATCAAAGTGTATTGAGGACACACCCAAATAAGGGCGGTCGAATAGGATTGCACACTCATAATATTCACCAAGACACAAAGTATGGATAATGCCAACGCCAGCAAATACAATCTGTTATGCACGGAAGGCAAACAACAGTTCTGTAGAACTGTAAAAACAATAAGTGCAGCCAAAATAGAATACGCCCAATTAAATAAAGGCGGCAAATCAGTAACATAAACGGTTGTCACTAAAACAAGGGCATGGCGAGGCAAGTACGTAAACGTTAAAAGGCTCGACTAGGAAATGAAATGAAACGTTGAAAATTCAACAAGACGAAATTGTGCTGAACAGGCTCAAGGACCCTAGGATTGCTCCCCTAAGACTACGATGGTATTTTTCCTGACCGAAGGAACTGAGATGCACACCATCACGTGCGTAAAAGTTCTGAGTCGGGCGCCAAAACCCCCTATGGCCCCAAAAGATAGCATAAGGTATAGGCTCTAAAACTACCCGAAGGTATTTCGTTAACAGCTTGGCCTTACGATTAAAGACCACTGCGCCCTGGCGCATGATGGTCTGGCACACGCAGACAATTTTAACACCATAGGTGTCATGCAATAGCCTAACAAAATCTTCAATAGCTGAGCCAACATGTAAAGGGTCAGAGTCTGTTAAATCATTGGAACCCAACTGCATTATAACTATCTCCGGTCGAAAGGACTCGATAACATTCAAGTCAAGATGTAGCGTTTTGGAAACCGTACGGCCACCGACTCCGTGCCATTTTATAAAGGCACGGTGAGATAACTTGAAATCAACGCTAGAATGGTAAGAATCACGGGACAGGAAAAGGCGCAAACGGCGAATAAAAGAATCGCCCAGAACTAAAAGACGGGGCTCAGCCATTGAATAACAGGAAAGATAAAAGGAAAAGAGGGTACTTGCCTAAAAAATGCTGAAAATTGGTTCAAACCAGCGATGTGAACAACGTGATGGTGAGCGATCAAAAGGGGGCGAGCACATGGGAAGGCGCCCCTAAGAATGATATAGTCCGGAACGCCCTAAATTGTGATTGGCTGGAAATAAGATAGGCTTGGAACCTGCCGCCTTGGCCTGCAAACCATTATTAAATGCCTTGCCATAAAATCCCATTATGATGTCGTCATAACGGTGTCGTTTTTTTTTCTTGGCAAAAGATATTTCTATCCACAACGGTTGGAATTCATTATTAGCAGTTTTTTTAATAACGCTGTAGTTATATTGTTTTCTATGAAAAGACCAACGCCTCCAAAGGCTAGAGGCGTCGGCACGAATTCAAATCTATATCCCGGAATATTAAATGCTGAAGTTTCTAAATTTGCATTGGTAATTTTCGTCTCAGAGATTCCTATAACATCAAAGTGAAAATCAGTTTCTTCTAAAATATGTGTAAATTTTCTAGGTTCTGATTCAAGCTAGTTATGTTATTATGAAATACAGAAAAGCAATTATTTGGCCATTTGGATTTGGCGTGGTGAAAAGCATGAGGAGAAAAATACCTACTTTTCATTTGATTGTTGTGTAAGTTTTCATAAGGGCTAATGTTTGAATCTAATATAGTATTAAGGTCAAATAAATTAATATCATAGAGGCTAGGCAAATTTTGTAACTCATATTTTGTTGGCTGGTGTTTGTCCATCAGAATATTATTAAATTGGCCATAAAGCATTATAAGACTTCCTGTATAATTATAATAAGGTAGTTCTTTGAGTAAAATTTTTCGCTCAGAGATTTCACGTTTGCTTGTAGTAATTTTCTTTTCACCTGCCATTATAGATTTTCATACGGTGGCTCAGAAGGATCACACATGTAAATTATAAATGTTGCTGCAAACTAAATATTTTACCTGCAAATTAAAAATGTTGCTGCAAATTAAGAATAGGACATGCAAATTAAAAATTGTACATGCAAACTAAAAATATTACAAACATGAAACATGAATGGGCCGACGGCTGTAAGGCCAGGTCGCACGGCTCGGACCAGGTCCTCATCACTCACACTGCGCGCGCAGAGCTTTTCATTTTTAATTTGCATCGATATGTTTTCTATTTTCAATTTGCAGCACAATTTTTAGTTTAGATGTACAATTTTTAATTTGCATGTACTACTTTTAATTTGCAGCAACATTTTTGACCCGCAGGGATTTTGCCCAGAAGGCGAAATCCCGAGGAGGCACTCTAGTAACTCGCGCGTATATTAAGGAAAGTACTTACAGTTGAAATATACAGTCATACAGTTAATATAGAAAAAATCTCGATTTGCTTGAACAGGGGTCGCGAGGAATTGGTAGGTAATGATGACGTTTCTATTGTTTGTGCCCGCAAGTACGAAATGGTTAAGACGACGTAAAAACACAAAAAATCCCGAAGGAACAGCTTACAACAGTTAGATTTTGTGACATTAATTGCGCAGTCATACTTCGATACTCTTTTGCGTTACGTGTTATCAGTGACATTCTGTGGAGCAGTTGTTATGAAAGTTATGGACCAAAAGACACTCGTTAAGCGCAGATGAAGTTATAAGGTGCGTAGTTCACAAATCTTTGATTGGAAACCTTCAGCTGAACCTTGCCAGACACTCTTTCTCTCTCTTTCACCGGAATAAGACTCGGCCCAAAACAAGAAAGACGAGTGAATGATTCAACGGCTAGCTTATCACTATCAGAACGATGGACGACCATCAAATTCTGACTTATTCCCTGCCCACAGATGCCCTTCCACTATAAAGTTTAAAATAAGACTAGAATACGCGAGCGTGAATTGATCAAACGTCCTTTTAATTTCTAAGGCTTTCTTTCCGGCAAATGAAATGAACTAAATGTAAAAAGTGAAATAGAAATAGCGAACAATTCAACTTCTAATTAAATCTTTTCTTATGGTTTAGAATAAACTATTCTCGAAAGTGAGAACGTTTCTGGTCAAAGCTTTGTAAATCGAAGCGAAACTGTGCATGGAACTTTGCGTTTATTTCCAGTATTTATCTCACCTATTGTATGGAATATGTGTGAAAATCTTCATTATGAATCGGTATATTTCAAAGAGCTACACAAGGAGCAAGAATGTTATATACAGAGCGGGGGCAGCTGTAGTGTCAACTATTACTAGTTAATTTGCATGTGTGACCCTTCTGGGCCACCGTATTTTCAAGTGTTATAGTGAAGAGCACAATAGTACTTATCATTATTCTTCTGAGGGACGATTGAGGCTTAGACGAAGTTCTTCTAGATCTTCCAAGTTTCGCAGCTTGTAAATTCGAAAATTGTCGGTCTTGCGGAGGAGGATCCTTGAATCTTTTGACCAGCAATATTTGAAAGCGTGAGATTCTTGAAGCGAATTTGCATCATGTAGCAATTTCCCTGGCTAATGCTAATAACAGCGCAAGTTTTAAAAGAAAAATGGTTTGAAAATGACGGTTTTTGCTCATTCACAAACAACAAACAAACTTGTGAATGAAGCTGCCAACAATTCCGCCCGGGTTAGCGGGCAAGATCGTAAAATACCGTCTGCTCTCGGAACCAATCAGATTGCAGGGTTTGGAGGATTCCGCCCGCTCGCAAGCTTGGAAAAAAATAATAAGGCATATCCTGCCATAAGACGATAAAACAATAAAAAATAAAGAAAAATCGATCCTTCTCTCCGCCGATGCCGGATCATTCACGAAAACAATCACTCGAGGAATAAGCGCTTTCAACTTCCGTTGATTCTAACAGCTAATCAGATCTCGTGGCATTGCTCTAATAGCCAATCAGTGTTGTGCTAACCCTTTTAATTGGTACTAACTAAACATCTTCCTCGCGCTGTCAGAGATATTGTAGTCATAAAATGTAAAATATGACGCTCCTAAAAGGTGCGACATTTCCAGAAACTCGACTACATCAGCGACTCGAATATTTCCAAATATCGTAGGAATGCAAATTCAGTAATCTCCTTGTAAGATGTCTCTTTTCTTGTGATTCCCACGGGTAAAACAACCATACATTTGATAGCTATTGAGATGTTAATAAAATTCGGTATGCCGACCAAATCTTTTTTTAAAAAATACAGGACGCCACGAAGAAACCACAATGTTTGTTGGTGTAATTGTTGATTTCATAACAAAAAGTAACAGCTCTTAAAGAGATGGTAGGAGTTGACCCATTTTGGAAACGAAATGAGAGAGGCGGTAGAAGCAAGGCAAAACAATATATTCGGTATCAAAAGAGAGAAAAAAATGGTTAAAACATCAAAAACTTCCAAGCCCACATCTTGTGAACTTCAGGAATAGATGGATATTGCCTTACAAAACCGCTGCGACTTACTGAAAGCTCTGTTTTGCATATGGTGTCGTGCGTTTCGTGGTTTCGTAGGTTCCTCGCGCTTTCACCTACTATCGCCTTCTACATGTAGGTAACTAAGCACAACTGTAGCGAACACCTCAGTTGATTCGCTTTGGTGTGTGACATGGATTGATACAGCACTTACCACCGTCTTGCAAAGTTGGCGTTATAAAGGTTATCATTACTTAAAAAAAAATTGATGTATCTCGGTCAAAAAATGTAACTACATATGTGAACTTGTAAAGTTTTGAGGCTCACCGAGTTTTGGCTCCATTTTGAACTACTTGCGAGCAAGAAGCCTGGCCGCAACCTTCGATCATCGCAGCCATTTAGCAACCGGGACTCAATTCATTTTTCAGGGTCTAATCCCCGTTGAGCTTTTAGTGTAAGGCCTTATGTGGATAGCTTCTGGCTTGACTTGTGTAAGTGCCAACAATCCACATTGCCTCATCGGAAAAGCGGGCCGGAAAAGCCGCTCTGGTGGGATTTTTCTCCAACAGCGCCGGTTTATGGGTACGGAAAGGTCGTATAGTGATCCTTGTCGTGTTCTCTACTGACTCTCGTGCACACTGATCTCCCTGTTTTCGCAATGTAGCCTTTGTTGCTCTCACGAGGAATCCTTTTTGAACTTTTAATCCACAAAATTTGTCAACCAAAAAACAATTAGATGATACGAGACTGAAGACACACTTAATTTCCTATTCTGTCGTGTGGTATTGCGCTTTTGAGGCTTTTGGTGCTGTTTCATTTTCCCAAGGACATCTAGCCCTCGACAGGAGCCCATCAAATGGAGCCTCCATCTCCCATACAAGCCCTTGGAGTCAACCCTTTCCCGAGTAGATTTATAATTAGTACGGTTCCCAGGGGAGACTTCGCGCGCCGACGGTGGGAAGAGCCAATCACAACGACTAAATGACACTGCTATTGTACTTCATGAAACAGCAGGAAATCCGGTGCTGACAGGCCAAACAAAATCATAAGCTAGTGAAACGTGACTTTAGCGTTTTCATCCCTCAGAGATTTTCTTTCTTTTCTTTCTAACGGGTATATTATGCTGTGGAGAGTTTTAAACTCTGACTATGTTAATCTTAATTTTGGTTGCTTGTCTCACATTTATAGGCCATGAAGCTGGTCTGTTACATTCGTAATGATTAACTACTATTTGAAGTCTGTAGTTCTGACAGGATTCGTTTTAGACAATTTTTTTTTAGCGTTAAGGTTCTTATTTCGGCTAAATGATTCAATATTAATCAAATTTCTAGTTTTTCAAGTTTTTCTCCGAAATGTGTTTGTCTGAATAAATACTGTGGTTGTTTTGTCCGTCAGTTAGTGTGATGATTCCCTGCTATGTTTTGTAACGCCGAGCCCAGCCATTGTTTTCTCGCAAAAAAGTGATCTACAGATGCGAATTCGAAGGAAAGAATTGGCCTAAACTTCTACATTAATTGCTAAGAATTCTCCTGTTAGTCAGTCATAATTCTTTGGGCGCAGATACAATCCATTTTGTTTTTCTTGAGATATAGGGTCTTTGGACTGGAGCGCGATGTCACAAATTCCTCGGCTTTAGCAAATTACTTTTGAGTTAGCTTCACAGTCGAGCAACTGTTGTCTTCTGTTCAACTTTGTAAGTTCCAGTTTTATCAGGCGACTCTGGTGATACAAGTCAGTTGTAAAGGAAGACTGCAATTTTTCTGAAGCATTCCTCCTTAGTTGCTACTTAGGTCATCGCTTTTGCACGCGGTGCTTAACTGGCGAAATCCACTCCACGGCGATAACAAAAATCAAATGATCCTGGCACTTTTTCGGCACTGATCATCGAAAAGTTTCAAATCGTCCACAGAACGCTTAATCGTGGACTCTTTTCACGGTGCATGCTTAAATGTGGGATGATGACGGCAAAAATAAAACAAAAACAAACACTCGCAAAGAACCTTTCCGTCATCCTCAGTTCGCTGCCTTTGTCCCATCGCTTCATGCTCAGTCTCAGTCGGGTAATTCATTAACTTTTATTTCATCCCAGATCCCAGCGGCTGTAAAACTGTAAAAATGGACGTATAGTAAAAAAGGAAAACGGTCGAAGGACGGGCTTCTGAGTTCGACTTCATCCAACTTCATTTTTTTCACGGTGACATACGAGACTCACGGAAATATGACACTTTTCGCGGGAAACAAACCGCTCTATTTATAAATCTACTCGGGAAAGGGTTGACTCAAGAAATTAATGGAGATGGAGGCTCCATTTGATGGGCTCCTGCCCTCGATAATAAAAAAAAAAGGTGTGGTTTAGTTGTCAAATCTGGTGCGCTGACCACGATATGCAGTCCAAGGTAATCATAAAAACAATTTTGATTAGGATAAATAAATAGTTATCTCTAATTAATAATAGCAGTAAAAGAATGTTAAGGTCATACTATAGACTGTTAAAATGACTATTTTGTAGAAAATATAGATCGGATTAATTTGCTGTAATTTGTGAATGAAAATGTGATCGTATTGTTTTTGGTAATAACAATCTTGCTCTATGATAACTGAACGACTGTTCATTCAACAAATTGTTTTGAATTTCGGTGTACTTCCGTACTTTCACTGTTGTCAGTGTGCTTCTGTTTACAACGGCTGGGCGATTTCATTACACCAGTGTACACTATATAACCTGTTCAATTTATTTCAACTTTTACTTTTATTTGTGTTGAAATTATTGCATTAATAAACTGTCACTTATCAACAATTCCTGTTTAAAGAATTAAATGGTAAAGTGGAACTAAACACTAAATCATTTATTGGAGATTATCTTGTTTCCTCATGCTGTTTTTATTTTGCTCCAGTATATTTGAGTGAATTAACCTTTTCATAGGACTTGCTTACATTTCAAGCCAGAATCCAAATTCTCTCCTACGCATTATTTATGGCGGCTAGCATGACGGAAAAATACCTTGTTGCAAATCAAACTCTGGTGGTGGGCTATTCTGTCACTTAGTGGTTGCTCTGGGCTGACCATACTGTCGGTGGAAGCGTTGATTCTAATTCCATACAGTCATCCTACAGACCGTTCTTCGTCATCTCAGTGTTCCTTTCCTTATGTGTATATTGTTGAGTTGTTCTTGTAGGAAATGGTCGAGCTCAAAGTTGCACATGATTTATGTTGGCTACCAGCCTGTGATAAACCTTAACATCGCTACCACGACTTATTATGCAATCTGTTGAATATATTGATCTCAGGTTCTTCACCTGCTACAAATGTACGTCTGTTTGCATGACAACAAGACTGTCATGTGCGCATTAATTATATAATGAAAACTGATCCATCAACTTAAAAAAATTAATCATCTTAAGATTAAAAGAAAGAGTGCTTTATTTTTTACTGGAAGAAAGTATTATGAAAGATTATAATTATATAATCATGAATAAGACTCACTCGTAAGGTATATTTTTTACTCTGCTTAGAAATTTCCAAAAAAGGAGACTTGCCTTAGCAAGAGATGGCCTTACACCAGAACATGAAAAGAATGTGTGTCGTAAGACAAACAATAAAAAAATGTGTTTAATATTTCAAATCAAGGGCATAATCAACTAATAATTGCTGTTACAGCCATTAAGGAGGTTCTCTGGGCATCTGAATGTCGTAAAGGACACGAGCCAATGTTGCTGGCCAAGCAACTGTGTTATTGTTATGGCGAATATATCCCTCTCAATGTAACTTACATGGTGCAAGCAAACGTGAATCTGATGGTCAGCCTAAAATACAAAAAAATAGGCCCAATAAACCCACATTTATAAAGGTACTTGGTAATTTGTCTGATGTTCAACCTTGATGATTTAAAATGCTAGACTGATCGATCGATACTTCTAAATTTCAGGTACCTGTCATCACCAATTACAGGAAAGAAAAACTACTGTGAATTTTAATTCTTGAAAGGGGGAATCAATGGAAGTAAGACGGCAACCAACAGCTCCTCCCAGGAATGGGAGATGGTCTAGGTTGACTATCAGAATGATTTGTCTAGTGATTTACAAAACATAATTAAAGAATTGAAGCACAATTGACACTGAAGTGAACCAAGTTGCAATTAAACCCCTTAGTAGTAAAGCTGCATTGTA